AAAACCACACAACCATTGCTCTCCAAGAGCAAAATCAAGGTGTTTGTTCTTTACAAACTGACCTCCTCAGCTAACTAAACTGTCAGCATCTATCAATATTATCTTGGCTGCAAATGTCACTTCATGCTCTAAAGAAGAGTATTTGAATTTTACAGTTTTCTGTTTTTTCTGTTCCATTTACATATCTAGGAAGCTGAGAATAATCCCAGTATTACTGTGACGCAAGGTCATTTAAATGTTTGGTTATTTTCAGACAAAATATATTATGAGAACTGTTTTATGGCAGGCCCTGACAGGATTTCTTGCATTAGAAAGTCACTTTCGGCTTTTCCCGTTTAGGGGTCGCCACAGCAAATCGTCACACTGACGACTTGCATGTTGACATTTGGCATGTGTTTTACGCCGGATGCTCTTCCTGACGCAACCCTGATTCGAACCTGGGCCGCAGCAGCGAGAGCGCTGCGCCTTAACCACTAGCCTACCTGAACATATTTGTATTTAATTCCCCAGATTTGCCCAAAACTTGGGAAGGGGGAGTGCTTGGTTTAATGCAAACACAGCAGAATCGTTGTCACATGAGACCAAGATCACACAGGAATCTAAATCACACTCACAAAATGATTTATCGTGCAGCCACACCAAAACTGACACTCACCTGGGTATTTTACCTATTAGAGACAAAACAGAAGATTTTATCCAGTAACTTAATGCCTGCACACACCTAACCTGACCATAAACAAAAATGTTAATAACAAGTTTCAAAATTATTTAAATATTTTGTTTGTTAGGCTTCAACGATGAACAATGCAGTTTGATAAGCAGCAATGAATCTAAGGCAACACTTTATCTGCTTACTACAAAACCCCACAGGGCACCTTTAAATGTCACCCTCAGCGCACACGTCAGTGCTATAGCTGTGCTTTGAGGATTTCTGAGCTGCTCATTACATACACCATTTCATACAGACTGCACTGTTATACTCGTACCACTTGTTCTTCGTCAGTAGCTACTTCATCCCTGTTGCCATGGTTATAGCCAACTGCTCATGAGCTGCTGTTTGTCAGTACATTTACCTCACACAATATCCTATGTGCACATTTTCAGTATTTCCTTATCAGAGCTTCATTTCCTCTTTGCTTTATGCACCTATTCTGAAATGCAGGGGGTGGTCATGAGAATCCAAACACCTACCAGGGCATCATGTGGCCAATCCTGGTCCATCTGCTCCGGCTCACCAGGAAACCCACTGCTGGGTCTGTGATAGCGTCCCATGCCCGGCCCACAAACAGAATGATGGAGGCGTAGAAGGGATCCAGCTGTACAGAAGAAATGGAAGCCGTGAGACACTAAATCAATGCAAAGAGGATACTAGATACTGACATCACATGGCACTGCTGAATAGCTGTAGTGAATGGTTCAAAGGAGCCACAACCCCCAGTAAGGTTATGGTGACATAACTGCTTATAGTATGACAGTTTGTTAAAGAACAGGCCACTCTAATGATTTCATCCCTGGAGCTGAATGACCTTTATTCAAGCTCCTACTGTGTACAGAGGAAAAGATTCATTTGTAAACTGATCAGCAAAGCTAAACAGCAGGAGTCCAGGTTAATACCATAGGCGTAGTGCTGCTGGAATGCACCAGAATGACGCTGGGCCGTTTTTTCCCTCCAAGATAGGATAAAGAACAGGCCTATTGGCATAATCTGGTTGAAAGTCATAACGATGCATTATTGCAAGTGCTTCAAGAGCCAATCATCAGTAAAGTGTATGTCCTGCAAAATGGAATAGTCCAAGTTGTGATAATAAAACTTCAGGCGTGGCGATTGATTCACAATGCCAACTCAAACAATGTGACACCCTCGAGTGTTTGTGCGTTTTGCTTAACCATATCCTGTATATGATGACATGGATGGTTCACAGCGACACAGTTCGGTGTCGACTACAGACTCACTTTTAAAAAGACAAGTGACAGAATGAAACTTCGATCATCCAGGCTGACAAACCAGTACATAATCTCCAGGAGGGGTGAGCAGAAACTGATTTTACACTTAATTTAAGCGATGCTAGGATTTAAACAGACCTGTGTACCTGTGAGTGATCAGCTGTTGGCATATATGATATAAGCAGGGCACAGGACGGCCAAACTTTGGCACATGCTGACCAGTTGCCAGCCCCACACACAGCTAATATGCAAAGGAATTAGTTTATAAGTATTGATACTTAGATAAGTATACAAACGCCGCACGTAACCGCAGTGCCTGTTTCGTCTCATCTCGTTTCCCTTTGTAAAGTGAAGCGAGAAAGATGTCGAGTGCGGTGCCCCCGGGACCGTCTTTAGTTGATAAGCAACACAGCAGGAGTGCTATTTGGAATTATTTTGCATACGAAGCAAATGACGACGGAAAGCAGAAGAACACGAGCAAGCCACTATGTAAAAGTTGCTACAGAGCATTGCCGACAAAAGGCGCCAACACATCCAATTTAGCAAAGCTTCTGAAAGACAGACACCCGGATCTATACAAAGAATTTCGAGAGGTTGGTAACTGTTTTCAGTGTAACATTAGGGAATCAATAACCAAGATGGCCT